GCTCAACTCGGTCGGACAGACAGTCTGGCCGTTCGCAGAAGACGTACTATTAGGTGAGCAAAAAAATCATTTTTGTTTCGCCGATTTCTTTTTCTTTCTTTTTCCCACCTGAGGTCGTGACCTTTATTTGAACTTTCGGCCCGAAAGTGAGTGGGCATCAATCGAGAGGGGGTGTCATCGACTGGTGTTAAGCCACCTCTTTTGACCGATAGTCAGCAGCCGTCTGCAGGCTGGCATCGAATCACTCAGCAACATCAGCAGCAGCATCGGCGCCGACTCTATTTACGCTCTCTCTCCACTCTTGACTATATGGCAGCAGCAGCAGCGGCAGTGCTCTGGCATCCAAGTCGGATTCACTCATAACGCCCAATACTCTCTCGCTCTGCCTCTGCTCAGCTCAGCTCAGCTCTGTCTGTCACCTCGAGTTCAGTCTCGCTCGCATCGTTCCCGTCCACCACCGAAGCCTCTGTGTCCTCTGGAACCAGTTCCCACGTGAGATCACCAGCACACCCCACCACCACCATCATCATCATCAACAATGGCGTTAGGAGATGCCGACGTGCAGAAGCAAGTACGTGTCACTCTGATCACCAGATGATCAATTAATCAGCTTTGTGTTCATTTCACACCAGATCAAGCACATGGTTGCTTTCATCGAGCAGGAGGCCAATGAGAAGGCGGAGGAGATTGAGGCCAAGGCCGAGGAGGAGTTCAACATTGAGAAGGGCCGTCTGGTGCAGGAGCAGCGCCTGAAGATCATGGAGTTCTACGAGAAGAAGGAGAAGCAAGTGGAGCTGAAGCGCCGAATGTAAGTGCTCATGACTTTGTTGTTGTAGTATTGATTTGTTGTGTTTACCCTTTTCCATCACCCACCCACCCAGCTACAACTCGCACCTGCAAAACCAGGCCCGTCTGAAGGCGCTGAAGAAGCGAGAAGATCTAATCAGGGGCGTCCTCGAGGATGCCCGTCAGAAGCTGGCTGAGGTGACGAAGGACATTGACCTGTACCAGAAGGTACTGCAGAAGCTCATCGCCCAGGCGCTCTTCCGCCTGATTGAGCAGGAGGTGGTCATTCGCTGCCGCAAGCAGGACCTCGGCCTGGTGGAGAACGCCCTCGAGTCGGTGCGCAAGGAGTACAAGGAGGCGACGAAGAAGGATGTGGTCGTGAAGATCGACAAGGAGCAGTACCTCTCTGCTGACATGTAAGTCATCTTTATTCGGCAAATCGACTCAGCAAATCTAACTTCGATTTCTTTCCAGTTGCGGCGGCATCGAGGCGTTCTGCCAGCAGGGCAAGATCAAGGTGACCAACACGCTGGAGAGCCGTCTCGACCTGATCAGCCAGCAGCTGCTGCCCGAGATTCGGGTCGCCCTCTTCGGTCGCAACCCGAACCGAAAGTTCGACGACTAGTTTG